TCACTCCAACCATCTCAAATTCAGATATGCACAGTTCCAACTGCCCACCCCACCAACCCTCACCCAGCTATCACAAGCTGCAGCATCAGTGAGCTTCAAATTAGGAAGGAACTGGAATCATTTAGGATCCCACAGGCAGCCAGCCTCCACATTCTCACCAAAATGTGATTTTCCAATCGCCACCAGTATGTGTGTGAATTCACAAGAAATGAAACAAGATTGAGCTGGCTTTCAGAGCTCACAGAAGCGCCCAAACGAGATGGGGCAGGAGGGGTAGAGAAACAGTGCAGTGGGGGAGCTCTCTAAAGCAGGCTCCGGACCTTCCAGGTCCTGATTCTGCCCAGGATTTGCACTTTAAAGATCAATACTTGTTTAAATACACCTTTGTCTTTTTGTAAGCAGTGTTACAGGGATAATTCACATACCATAAAATTCACCCTTTTAAAGTATACAATTCAAGGGTTTTTTAGCACTCTCAGAGTTAACCATCACCACATCTAACTTTAGAACACTTTCATCATCACATAAATATACGTTTGTAACACAGATTAAGATGAACAACAAGAAACAGTGGTTTGGGAATACGATTATACATGTGTGAATACAGAAGACTACTCGAGGCCACACATGAGACAACTGCCTGTGGGACTCCAAAGAAAGTGGCAGTTACTCTTGGACAACGCTCCTTTTCCTCTACTCTCCTCTGTTTTATGATAGTGCTGTCCGCACTGACACCCACTTAGGAGTCAACCTTTCCCATGAGCACAGGCTCAGTCCACCTATTTGAGAGTGCATAAATGCTTAATCAAAGCAACTGGATGGCCACATTGGACTTTTCATTCTTCAAGATTAAAGTTATTGATGGTTCTGGATGGCTGCCTACAACCACGGGCACTACTGTAACAGGCTATTAAAGCAGCAGTAGGACTCTGGCCACAGGGTTATCAGCTTGCTCATGTGCACATGCCTAACTAAGCCTGGAAGTTTACCACCAGCTCTCTCTGAGCACAGAATCATAGGGCAGAACTTCGTCCTTTGCTGCCCAAACCGGGGTCTGCCAAGCAGAAGCATGGCATCACCTGGAAACATGTTGGGAATGCGGACTCCCAGGCACACTACACACCTACATAATCACAACTTGCACCTGAGTAAGACCCCAGAAGACTGCGTGCACTGCACATGGGAGCCCTGGAGGGCCACCAGGGAATGACCTTTGACCTGATGCCCACGGTGCCCCTCCCCCACTCCAGCATGTTAGTGCCACTTCAAGCAAGAAAACAACTCACATCCACCTCCACCTGCCATCACAAATGCAACAAGTCGGTATTAATCAAACCAATGGAAAGATTACAGGCTAGAATTCAGATAGAAAAAATCAAGAGGAACAAATGCTGACCATGGTTACCTCAAATTGTGGGGTTGTGAGAATTTTTCACTCTAACATATTTTTATAATGTTTGGATTTTCAAATTTTAAATTTTAACTGATGAGTCCACATTATTTTTATAATCAGGAAAAACAAAATCTTAAAAATACTGTTCACAAAATTCAACATAAATTGAATTAGTAAGTAAAACAAACAGACAACCCCTCATTGGTAAAAACAGCTAACCATGCTGACTGGGCCCGGGCAGGTTCAGGCACGCACAAGCGGTGGCCCTGGGCACGGGGCCCGGGCTGTCCAGATGTGTAAAGGCTGACGAACAGACCCTGATCCCGGACAAGATTCAGGGGCGCACAAGCGGTGGCCCTGGGCACGGGACCCCGGCTGTCCAGATGTGTGCAAGCTGATGTTCGGCCCCTGACCCCAGACATACAAACCTAGACTCCGGAACCTGCTGCGCAGGCACCGGGCTCCGGTTACATAAGGCCTTTATGTAAGCATGACTTGCACTTGCAGGAGGGAGCATGCGCACTTCCATGCACTCTCCTCCCCCCAAACCCCTATATAATGGTTGCTATTGCTGATTGAAGACACTGGTTCCTCCTCATGTTGGCTCCACGTGCTTTCTTTACCCTGGGCATCTCACCGCCAAAAGCTCCCCTGCAACCTCCCCAGCATCGACACATGCTGTTTTCCTCTCTCTGAACACCGCCCCTGGCCCCTGGACGGTGTTCATGCAGCCCTCTCACTTCACCCTCCTCATCTCTGCCTCCCCCGTCTCCATCCCCCAGGCTTTATATGGCCTTCTGAGAAGCAAGTATCACCTTTGCACAATGGGACACTGGAGGAGAAACGCCCAACAGATCCTTCTCCTTTGCTACTGCAAGTTCCTGCCTAGCTCAGAGGAAGACCCCACCTGCCACTGGGTAAACCGCACTGAGGGTGTAGATGGGTTCCTACAAGATGCTGTTCCAAAAGGCAAAGTGACAGCCACATGCTTCCTTAGGAAGGGGAATTAGCACTGTAGATCTTATACTGATAGAGAAGATGGACAGGGGTAACCGGTCCTAAGGTGTGCGAAGTACCAGAGTGAGTGGCTGTGGGAAACAAGCCAGTCCAGCGAAGTCAAGCAGAATTGCCTCCGAGTAAAATTAACAAAAATATACTGGATGAAGCATTAGAAATTAACACCATTAATACAAGTGCTGAAGAAAAATGGTCATTTGGCAGGAAGAACTGTGGTAATGCCTTTCCAATATGCAGAGGACCCGCTGCACTGATTTGTGGACTCGAAGAGACCCAGTTCTCTCTGCTCTGACACTGGATCCCAAGCCATGTTCTGAGTCATTTCCCAAACCAAGCTGAGAATCTGCTGAGTGATGGGAAGGGATTCCAATCTGTTTTACACTTAACTTCCCACTGCAAAATTTAATGGCTCTAGAGTTACAAACTACTATACATTATAATAACTTCTAGAGTTATTAATTAGCTGGTAGTGGTTTCAACCTTTAAGTAGATACATTTCCAACCTGGGCTGGGGGCTAAAATGGGGCAGTTCTACCTGTTTCCTTTTTTGTCAAATCCTGGCTCTGATATTCATTGGTACTGACCTTGGGCAAGTTTTTCTGTGCCTCACTTTCCTCACCTATAAAGTGGGAGGATGGTAAGAGTACCCCCTCAAAGCATTGCTAAAAGTACTAAGTGATATGAAATGCTTAGGAGGTGCCAGCTGGCATGTGGTAAATATTATCGCTGCCATCATTATCATCATCATGACCAGATTAAGTCCCAAGGTTATGGTAAGGGTCTCAATTCCCATCACATCTGAACATTTCCCAATACACGCTTACTTCCAAGACATCTGGTTCCCAGCTCTCTCTGGCAGCACCACCCACACACAACTCATCACTCACCACCCAGCTCTCCTAAGCTAAGCCAACAGCAGACCACCAGATCAGCAGCCTTGTCTGAACAATTGGGAAGCCATGGCTCTTCTCACTGATGACACAGGACAAAAGCTCTGAGATCCAAAATGTCTCTATAGACATCAGCTGCACATACACTGTGCCTGAGCTTGTCTCCCACTTCTCTAGACTGTTGTGGACCTCTTCAAACAATGAGGGTTTCCTCTGCCTCCCGACATCTACTTTTGCACCTGCTAAGTTGTGAGGAAGCAGCTAACCACCCTCTTGGCTTAGGGAGGAGCTGATCTCTGAGCTCCACGCCCCACCTTCCCTCATTGTGTCCTGCAGAGCCAGCTGCCAGCTACAGGCATCTCCACTGAGAGTCTCTCATTAAAGACAGGGTCCAGAAGCTGAGTTTGTGGGGTTTTCTCTACATGGAAAAATCACCAGGTGTTGGAAAACTGTGATTCATTGCAAAGCTAAAAAGAAAAAAACAGGAAGTTGCAGAGTAACATGTAAAGGACCCCACTAGAAGGAAGGAAGGAAGGAAGGAAGGAAGGAAGGAAGGAAGGGAGGGAGGGAAAGAGAGGGGAGGCAGGGAAGGGGAGGGGAGAGATGGGACAGAAGACCATTCAATGACTGACTTGAAGAGACCACGGCCACTAGAACCAAGGCCTGAGAGGTAGCAATGCTGATTCACACTCTGTAAATAATGAAGATATCTCAGAAAGTAAAAAGAAAAAACATTCCATTCACTTTATATATTTCTATATTGGTTGTTGTGCTACAGTAAGCACGTATTATTTGTAATTTAAAAAGAGAAGAAAATGACTCAATGAGACATAATGCTAGAGCACAGATGACAGTCCGATTCACTTTCCAGGAGAAGCCATGATCCTCTCACCTTGGGTTTCCACACTTGCTGACTGATATTGATCAATGCTTGCTGCACACCTGGGATGGNAAATAAAAAATATATTGTCTACTCTTGCATACTATGAAATTAAATGAAAACAGCTTGAATTAGGATCATTTCTTTAAGCACAAGTCACCCCATCCTCTCCAACACCCAACCCTAAAACAAAAAGCACGATACACATCACAACCACACATGCCTTATTTTCTCAAGAGAGGTAACTTGAGCTCTGTCAAGGCTGATAAACAGAAATAGATTTTGCTCCTGGCCAATAACTCAAACCGGTCATTAGGGCAATACTGAAGGTGTTTTTGGAATTAGTGTACAGGCAGATATACTCTGTTTATTCAAGAACTGAAAACACACAGTTTCTACACTGATAGTCTCTATACCAGAGAAGCCAGTGACAATTTATCTTCCATGGGAAAAAATGGAAATGGAAAATGGAAAAAAAAAATCAAGAAATGAGCACCCTGAATTCTTTCAGATTCTAAAACCAGAGATAATTCTGAAAGGAATGAAATGGGTTTTAAATGTCCTATAAAATCCAGAGGGAAAGAAATGCAGCATCAGCTTATTTTCTGGCACTTGGGCAAAAAACCAAGCAGGAATACAACCAGAAAAAGAACATACCCTTCCACCATGCTACGGACAGGGCCCAGAGAGAAACATGGCCTGAACACCAAGTGAACAATGCCAGCAGTCACAGGAGAACACCGGTGTCAGAGTGATCATGGTGCCTTCATGAGTGTCCCGCGTGCACCCACGGGCACAGACAGGACGCACACTATCTTACCTCTAACATAGGCCTGGCACTATCGTGCACAGACAGAATATGTGTCACCTTGTTCTTGCTCAATTGCTCTGCATCTCTGGCATCTGTCACAGAAGAAAGAGGATTGACATTTTAATATTCTCTGCAAGTAAATTACTCCTACAATCTAGCCAGGAAGAAACACAAAACGACTAGCATTTTCTTTCTTGACACTCCATAATTGACCATACCCAGAATAATCTAGAGCTAAGGAATTTAGGACTATCACTTTTATGTATTTTGCAGATAACTAAGTTTATTTCTGATTGGCACATCCTTTGATACAAAGTGGTCATCTAAAACTTAAAATGGTATTTAGATTAATAAACATTGTAATCATGATTATTCCTGTTTAAAGGAAGTGAACCTATGAGATTATTCTGTAGTTGACATTTGTTAAACTGTAGACGCTTACAATAAAACATTTAACAATAAAGATGCTTAAAATATTTTTAAAAACTATCTCTTAATGATTAGTAATCTAAGTTAAAATTAAATACAGAAGACCCACTTACTATATAAGAAACAGGAACCTGCCAGAGACAACTTTACGCTGACGTCAAAAGCAGGGGTGGGACCAGGTGCAGACAAGACTGTGCTTTACAACATCTATATACACTTTAGGGCATAAGTAAAAATGGAACATTTTCTAGAAATTCCAAGAGAATTGTCCATAAGTTATCAGTCGGCTATTAAATTATCTGCATATGAACCTAAGGAGAAACCCAAATTACATCCCTTTCCAATACACCCACCTGTGAAAGAAAGACTGAATGAATCTCCTCAAGTTGGAACCCTTCTGCTAATCTACAAAACAGGGATCCAGCAAGAAACAAGGTACCCTAAGCCCCTGTCCTGGCCTAGGATGAACTTTTTAAAATGATAAAGGGTGAAATAAACCAAAAGTCAAATATTTAATTATCATGTTTCTGGAGAATATTTAATAACATGGGAAAATACTCAGGATACAATATTAAGCAGAGGAGAATACCAGG